GTTTCATGGCGGAGGTTGGTCCCGGGCGGGGGGTTACCATATATATATATATATATAGATAGATAGATAGATATGTATCTATCTATATCTCAAAAAATCTGGTCAATATCTGTCATTCTGAAAAAGGACATGTACAGGCACATGCACAGATATGTTTCAGCTCCGTCCAAAAGGTCGAACCCGTGAACCAAAGCCCCGTAATGTCGTTTTATTGGATTCGAGCTACAGCGTGTTCTCTCCTTAGTCATTGAACACTTGGGTCCCCGTAGTGGGTTTAAGCACCCAGACAGCATAGATTTGCGGACCACAAATGTACGATTATCAGTGTAGGCTTTGGATTATGCGTTACAAGCGAGGCAGACAGTTGTGTGCTTTCGTATTGGTGTATGTATATCTGTGTGCATGTATACCTGTTTTGACCTGTCTTAGTTATACTTATATAACGTATATAATACGTATACAAATTATATATATATATATAGAGAGATACACATGTATACATTACACGAAGATTAAATAAATAAATAAAAGGATTTGCACGTACACATACGTTGAATTCACGACCCACAAGCTTGAACTTTAAACCCAAAAGCTCAAGCCACTCAAGAAGCCGATGTCGAGGCGTTGGAACTGGCTCGCAGTGTGCACCGGTTGCCGACAAGTCAACAGCTGCTTTTGGATGCTCTGTGGTCAAGCAGTGTTTTGAGTGAGCCCCAGCCTAGCGAAGCTAACGCCCTTGAGCCCTAAACCTCAAACCGTGAGTATATACTGAATTTCTACGATAATGTACGAAAATAGAATGTCGTAAGATACCGTAATGGGCTATAACTGGCTATAACATACTAGAACATGTTGCAACATATTAAAATGCACTAGAGTGTACTTCAAGCTACTAGAATATACTAGAGTATTGCTACCACTACCTTCTACAACCACCTGCGCATGTGGCTACATACCTCTGAAGACCCTAACCCCCCCTCAAATTTATCGCATTCTGGCATTTCAGCAGGCTTTCGCATGCGGAAAACATGGCGGAGTAGTCGTGGTTTCCACTGCGTGTGGGTATCAATCAGCACATGTGTCGTGCCTGTGTTGAGGCGTTTTCCCGCAGCTGTGGCATCCAATCCAAGACAGCCACGTGTAGTCGTCGTATGTGTCATCAGTAGTTTAACAGCTCTTGAAAGCGGGAGTGCGACCGTGAACGAGCATGTCCCGTCGGAATATGATGCCGCTTGAAAGCCTGAGCCAAAACCATCAACATGCCAAACACACAAACACTTAATGCTCACATGTAACACTTAAGCTGGCCGAAGATCATCGCCCAACTCCCAAACCCTGTATAGCGGTTTCACCTAGTGAACAAACCCTAAACCCTAAACCTTCGAACCCTCAATATGGAACTGGAAGAGCAGCAGAGCAGCATCGCGATTTTCTCCTCGCAGAGCAGACGAAACAGGTGTGCCTTGAACCCAACAGCACGTTTGGCCATGCTAATCGTCTATGTATCGTCGTGGCGATGGCAACACTTGTCGGTTTGTGCTTGCTCGAGCTGCTGAAGCTCAGCGTTCACCTTCTGGTTTCACATTAAGCCCCAAACCCTAAACCTTGAACTTCAACCCCTGAAGCTCCCCAGACCTTGAGCCCTAAACCCCAAAGGAAGTTCATGAGCTGCGCTTTCCTTCTCTGCAACGTGGCTTTCTTGGTGGTGCCTGGACGGAATCTTTGGGCGAAGAGGGAAGGGTTGAGGGTTTAGGGGTTTGGGGTTTTTGGGTGGGGGCTAACCCTAAACCCTAAAACCCTAAACCCTAAAACCCTAAACCCTAAAACCCTAAACCCTAAACCCTAAACCCTAAAAGCTTAAAAAAAAAAACCTTTTGCTTTTTGAGCGGGTCATCTGAAGTCTGAAGCCCTAGGCCCTCAGCTTTGAAGGTTTTCTGGTGTTGTTTGGAAGCGTGTGGAGACTCGAGGATGTGAGGCGATTTAGCACGAGTTTGCCCGTTGTGCTGATGCCAAATAGCCTAAGTATGCCTAAATCCTTAGTTTTGATGTGAGCGGAAAAAACCACGACCACAAGAGACAAGTTGTGCCGGCGCAGAATTCAAGCATAGTGAACCATGAAGTATTGAACCCTAAACCCTCCACATTTACACCCGAGACGTGAAATCCCCTCACCCACACCACGGGTTCGTTCCACTCACTAAACCGTTTGCGTTTGTGCGAGTGCCGATTCGAGCTTGGCATATGGCCGACGGTTTAGAGTTTAGGGCTTAAGGCTCCAAAGCACTTGTTACTTCCCCTAAACCCTAAACCCTAAACCCTAAACCCTAAACCCTAGACCCTAAACCCTAAACCCTAAACCCTAAGCCCTAAACCCTGCCCTAAACCCAGCCCAGGCCATGTCTTTCCTCCACGACGCGACCTCCTGGCAGTCAGGGGAGACGCCCTGGCCTAATTCTTAAGAAGGGTTCCATAAGGGCTCTACAGGTGTGCGTTCAGGGTTTTGTAACGGTTGTTCTTTCTAGGGTTTTGTACGGTTCGAAAAGGCCCCTAACCTAACAAGGGGTCCACAAGTCAAGACAGGGGTGCGATTTTGGGCGTTTTACTTGCCGCCAACACTCCCAAGGCAATCTAAGTTAGTGGCCCCGAACTCTGCAGCCCACAGTGCTGACCTGGCCAGTGTGGAAGCCAGTTTCGGTATGGGAGTTTCCGAAAATTAGGGGTACCTTTATTAGGGGTCCTTATGATAAGGATCCTACTATTTAGGGTGCTATTTTTGGGTCCCCTATTTTCGGAAACCCCCGTATAGCTTATAGAAACCCAATACCCCTAGGACCGAAGCCCGACACAGCTGTGCACGTCCTCGGCCCCTAGGAACTTAAATCCCCCAGACCCCAAAAAGGATCTAAAACATAGATCCCCTAGTTAGGGACCCTAACTACTAAAGGGTACTTTATAGGAACCCCCTTAGGGGATCTATTTTTTAGATCCTTTTGGGGTTTGGGCCAAGACTCCAGGATCCATACATACCAGTCCTCAGCAGACAAAGTCTAAATCCAGGAGGCAGGACAGCGTAAACCCAACTCCCAAGATCTTCAAAAACGCTGATCAGTCCGTGGAACTTCAACCCTAAACCCTAAACCCTATGCAGCCACCATCATTCAACAGGCAAAGGCACCTACATAAGCCGCAAGAGCCCTGGAAGCCTCGATCACCCACGGTTTAGGGTTTAGGGTTTAGGGTTATCATAGCAAGGAAGGCATCAAGCGAACAGGTGGCTTGGATTGAGTTCCTTAGCCTCAAGCCCCAAGCCGTTGTAAAGTTAGTATACAGTATAACTATGCTATGTAACCCCGTAAAAACACTGATGAGCTCC